AATGCAAACTCTAAACATAGTCTACAAGGTTATCTTTATGCTGAAACAATTAGTTATCTAAGCTAGTTACTAATTTTCAAACAATATTAAAAAGGACATATTATATAATACATCACTGTCAGAAAACATTAGGGAAATATTACTTATTTAATGACATCCTCCTAAAGTTCTATTACTTTTATAAATCAATTTATGTTACTGGAATCTTGATTCCCTGGATTTTGTTTTTTTTGGGGGGGGTTGGTCGTGGGGCTTGATCTCTGGTGGGCCTGGGCACTGTCCCTGAGCTCTTCAGTTCAAGGCAAGTACTCTACCACTTGAGCCACAGCTCCACTTCTGGTTTTCTGGGGATTCATTGGAGATAAGAGTTTCACAGAATTCCCTGCCCGGGCTGGCTTTGAACCATGATCCTCAGATCTCAGCCTCCTGAGTAGCTAGGATTACAGGCGTGAGCCACCGGCGCCCGGCTATGAATCCCTGTTTTAAAATAAAGCTACAATTAACCTTACATAAATTCACCGGGTAGCCCAACAAGGTCTTCTCCTCCAAGTACTGACCCTAGGGCAAGCAGGAAACAGGTTGGGGTGATATTGGAGGGGCAAACAAAAAAGGGCTGGAAGCCTCACAATGGTAGACTGAAACACATCTCTTGAGAACTTGACCCTGTTTAGTATTACAGGCACTTGGATATACATTTAACGAGTAGACCATTAACCTACCATTTAAGGACCTTTGGCAAAATAACCTTTCTTGACAATGGAAAAACCATTGAGGAAAAACCTCACTAAGCACACAAGTCAGTATCCAACTGAAAGGCTTGAAGACAGGTCATTCAAAGGCATTAAGGCAGCAGGAAAACTGGATCAAAAGATACATTACATGTTGCCTGAAGAGGTCGGCGAGGGGGCCTGATATGTGAGGATCTGTATGTTTCATAAACCGTATCACTTCATCCACAGACCAGGTTGAAGGGTCCTTAGAGAAGCCTTGTTTCAGGACACTGGGGTCAGGTACAGCTATATAACTTGGATCTTCAATGAGGAGGGGAAAAAAAACAAATCATACTTAACCTGATCATTATTCTGAAAGAAGAGATGTTAAGGTTGGGAGTGAGTAGTGGTCTCATTCCTGGAACCTTAAGTACTCAAGAAAGGATTTAAGACTCCAACTGTAAAATCTAGTGAAAGCTTAAATAAAGATGATTGGCCATCTAAGAATACCCTCATGGGACTTTCCCAAAACAGCAGCTTCAGAGGACATCTGAAAGCTCTAAAGATCATGAAAACAGATGCAACAACACAAGGCTTCTTGGGCCACAGATAAGAACAGAAAGAGATTTGTTACTTAGATTAAATTTGGTTCAGCAATCTCCTACTCCAAATGTTGCAATGAATTTCTCTTCTCTCTCTCTCTCTCTCTCTCTCTCTCAGTTGGGGCTTGAACTCTGGGCTTGGGCACTGTCTCTCAGATCTTTAGCTCAAGGTTAATGCTCTATCACTTGAGCCACAGTGCCACTTCCAGTGTTTATTGGAGATAAAGAGTCTCATGGACTTTCTTGCCTAGACTGGGTTTGAACCTCGGATCTCAGCCTCCTGAGTAGCTTGGATTACAGGCATGAGCCACCAGTGCCCAGCTTCTCCTACTCTCAATTTCTATCTAATTTAGTTTTATTTTACTAAATATATGGAATTTTCCCAAAGTTACATGTTTATAATTGCCTAAACTGAATTACTTTTTTGTGGGGCTTGCTGGGGATAGAATCCAGAGCCTTGAGCATGTTGGGCAAACAAGGGATTGATTACTTCTTTTACCAAATCTCTCCAATGTATTCAATATGGATATTCTTAGCATTATATTTACTCCTTAGATTACTATATCTCATGGCTTAAACATTAATCTGAACTTTTAAATTTTTCTTATTTTTTAAGCTAAACTTTAAAGTTATATTTTTATTAGCTAGATCAGAAGTAACTTTAATATTTAGTTTTTATTAGCTCAAATTACTTTTACAGAAAGGGGATTTCATTTCGATTTTAGTTTAATTCCAACAGATATTCTGATTGAAAGTTTATTAATCAATAAATATCTGAAACATGAAACAATTTAGGGGCTCATACTTCATAAGGTTTTATCTATGTTCTTCACTAAATTGTTCTAAAAGTTCTTTGTTCTAACAAACTCAGGGTGCTCAACTCTTAAAGTTAATATGTGATGATAATTTAAGGGATTTTTATAGTTTACGAGAAAGGTTTGTTTCTCTAACCAAGAAGAGTTAAAACAAGTTTGTTCTATTTGTGTGTGACTTAGCTTTTCTTTCCCATAATTTGGGCTATGAACATTCAGGAGCATTTTGAGTATTTACTTGTGGAATAGGTAAAGAACAAAGAAGATAAAATAAATATTTTTATTATGTGTAACTCTGGATTTCATGTCTTTTCTTTACAACATTACAACTTATTGTGAAATAAAATCTTTATACTAAAATATATCCTACCCTCTTATCAGAGAAAAAAATGGCATACAAATTTTTGCTGGACTGTATCAACTCAGGTAAAAATGATGATCACATCCCATTTAATCTACTCCAAACAACAGAAAGCACCTTAAAAAGCTTTTAAGAACCAGGCTGGCACGAGTGACTCACATCTGTAATCCTAGCTACTCAGGAGGCTGAGATCTGAGGATCATGGTTCAAAGTCAGCCTGGGCAGGAAAATCTGCGAAACTCTTATCTCCAATAAACCACCATAAAACTAGAAGTGGTGCTGTGGCTCAAGTGTTAGAGCACTTGACTTAAGCTGAAGAGCTGAGGGATAGCACCCAGGCCCAGAATTCAAGCCCCATGACAGACAAAAAAAAAAAAGCTCTTAAGATCATAAATAAAATAGATGCAGGAATACAAGATCTCTCAGGCCTCAGTCAAGTATAACATATGATGTTACATGGATTAAATTACGTAGGGTCAACTAACCTAATCCATTACTCTATTTTAATGAATGTTCTAGCCCTTTTGGCAGTGGAGACAGAACAGTTATCTCCTTCAATTCAACACCCAAGTGGTGCTATGACTCAAGTGGTAGAATACTAGCCTTGAGCTTAAAAGAAGCTCAGGGACAATGCCCAGGCCCTGAGGTCAAGCCCCAGGACTGGTACAAACAAAAAAGACATTAGGAAGATTAATCATATTTCTAAGTTACCTATGTAGTCCCCCATAACTTTTAGACTCAAGGCTAGTGCTCTACCACTTGAGCTACAATTCCACTTATGGGTTGTTTTTGTTTTTGTTTTGTTGTTGTTGTTGTTTGTCGGTCGTGGGGCTTGAACTCTGGGCTTGGGCACTGTCCCTGTGCTCTTCAGCTCAAGGTGAGAGCTCTACCGCTTAAGCCACAGTGCCACTTCTGGTTTTCTAGTTTATTGGAGATAAGAGAGTCTCACAGACTTTCCTGCCAGGCCTGGCTTTGAACTGCGATCCTCAGATCTCAGCCTCCTGAGTAGCTAGAATTACAGGTGTGAACCACTGGCGCCCGGCTTCCACTTATGGATTTTTGTTACTTAATTGGAGAAAAGAGCTTTACAGACGTTTCTACTCATGCAAGCTTTAAGCCCCAGTCCTCAGATGTCTGCCTCCTAAAGTAGCTTAGGAATTCAGGTATAACCCACTAGTGCCTGGCTAGATTACCTTTTATTTATGTGGTGTTTGTAGTTTCTGTCAGCAGAATCTGGTATACTCATGTTTTGACTAACATATAACTAGTTTTTAGATTACTACAGATAAAATACATAAAAAGGTCTGATTTCTTGAATAAGACTGTTATATTAAAAATAAAACAAGTATTTTTTGTTTTAGTCTATATGGAAAAATAATTTAGCTAGGTCTGTATCTTCAAAAAAATCAGAGAAGCAGGGCACCGGTGGCTCATGCCTGTAATCTTAGCTACTCAGGAGGCTGAGCTCTGAGGATCGGGTTCAAAGCCAGCCCGGGCAGGAAAGTTTATCTCCCATAAACTACCAGAAAACTGGAAGTGGTGCTGTGGCTCAAGTGGTAGAGAGTTCACCTTGAGCTGAGGAGCTGAGGGACAGCCCTCAGGCCCAGAATTCAAGCCCCACAACCGGAAAAAAAAAAATCAGAGAAAACTGCAATAAAGGTTAGAAATTTTTGTCATTCAAATAATGGGGCAAAGTACAACAGGAAGATGTATGAGCATCACTAGTTACCAGAAGAAAACTCAGTTTTAAATAACAGTTGTAGTACCTTAAAAAAATAACAATAGTGACGTTGCTAGACAATTTCAAAATGAAATGTTCCCTTGTTCTCTAGAAATGTAGTAGCACAGTAATTATAGTATGGCCTTGAAAGAAAGGAGGAGGTAACAATGTTTGATAGGAAATGTACTCATTACCTTACTCATGTACTGTAACCCTTCTGTATAGTATCTTTACAATTTTTTTTTGAAATAACTTTTTTTTTAAATTGTGAACATACCGTGCAGAGGGGTTACAATTACATGGGCAAGATAGTGAGGACATTTCTTGTCAAGCATTGTTGCTCCTCCTTTGTTTCTCCATACCATCCCTTCCCCTCTCCACCCCCCCAACCCTACACCCCCCTACCACCACCACCCCCACCTCACCAAAGTTGTAAAGTTCGTTTTTCGACATAACATCTTGTACATCTCATTGATACATGTGTGTGTGTGTGTGTGTGTGTATGTATATAATATATGTATATAAAAGAGTATGGCCTTGGAGCCAGAGTGAATTCAAGGATTGGCCCAGTTGATTTCTAGTTTGGAAACCTTACCCAAATGACTTCTGGGATTTTTTTTAACCTAAAAATGTTTATCAGCAACCTTCATCTCATGGAATTCTTAGAATGTTATATAAATGAGGCTATATAAAATACTATATGACTGGCGTATAATGTCATACAGTAATGAAGATGATGTTAAATTCTATAACCACTAAGTGAATTACTAATAATGTTGTTACTATTAAGTTTCCACTCCTAAGAAGATCAGAAGCAAAATTTTTAAACTCAAATATAGGATACTTTAACATTATAAAATTAATCATACATTTGGAAATAAGATATTCAACATTAAAAATAATATTTTAGCTGGGCACCACAGGCTCATGCCTATAATCCTAGCTACTCAGGAGGCTGAGATCTGCCAGCCCAGCAGGAAAGTCTGTGAGATTCTTATCTCCAATAAACACCAGAAAACCAGAAGTGGCGCTGTGGCTCAAGTGGTAGAGCGCTTGCCTTGAGCTGAAGAGTTCAGGAACAGTGCCCTGGCTCAGATTTCAAGCCCCATGACTGACCAAAAAAAATCTTTTAGAATTTTTTTATTAAGGCCTTTCTTCAAAAGCTCAGACTTTTTTGAAAATATTAAAACTAAAAATTGTACGCATTCTCATTACCTGATTCATGTAACTATAACCCCTCTGTATTTCAACTCTATAACAACAATTGAAAAAAAGACTACTGGTCCACCACATATAGAATAACTAAAATCAGAGACAATCTTTAAAGGAATAGGATAGACGGAAGTGACAATAATAAATGTGTCACAGTATGCTCACAGTGAGGTTGTCCAGAGATAGCATCAATAATAAAAAGAAGAGAGTTACTTGGTTTCTACTTCATTCATTACTCAATCTAGCTTAGATGCTAGAAAGAAAAAAGCCCACTTATTTCTACCCTCTCTTTTCTATACACTTAACCTTTAAAAGGGCAAGAGGTAATAATCATCTTTGAACATGATGGTTGTTTCAGATTTTTCCAAATGGCAACAAGATGCTGCTTTGTTTACCCAGGCTACTGGGCACCGGTGTCTGACAGTGAATGGCAGAGAATCTGGAGAATGGGAAAAAGATCCAGCTTCAGAAACAGGATGCCAGAGCTCTGTTCTGGCACAGGAGGTATATAGGCTATGGATAGGAAAGGTCTCAAGAAAACAAAAAAAGGAAAGAGAATATGTCTTTCTAGGTTTTGGAGTCACTAGTGGTTTCAAAGATCTAACAGTACTCAAACAAATGACAAATTGCAGTTGCTAGAAAATCATTAATCTGAGAAATCTCTATCAGAAATATAGTTGATGATTCAAATCTCCAGAGATAACTGTGATGCCATGAGTATTTCAATAGCCATAATGGCTTAGCTCTGGCAGTGTTGTGAATGGAAGAATTTGGCCTCCATAATTTTGGCACTTTCTCCAATATAATACATTCTCAGGAGATGCTACTGAATGTAGAAACTTCGAGAAAAAATAAATTCATTGCCTGATGATCACTATATTTGAATATACCTTCACTTTTGCTCTGCATTTGAAATGGAGAGTCAAAGTAACTGCTCTTGATAGGTGATTTCTTCTCCTCTGAAGGTAAACTTGAGGTAGCTGGCACAACTTCACAGACAGAACTCAAACAATCTCCTATACTTAGTGGTGGATTCTTGGGATCTTCAAGAGTTTTTTCCTCTAGGAGCATATCAGGTCCTTCAAGCAACAATTTTTCTATAGAGAAATAGATAAAAGGAGGCTATTTTCAACACAGCTACTGCTCAAATACTATTAAACAGGCAAAAAAAATCTCATTTCTAGAAATGATTTACTTAATCCATGCTATACGGAATCAACTATGAACTATTGTTTTTTTGTTGGGCTGGGGTTTGACCTTGTGCTTGGCAGGCAGGCACTACACCACATAAGCCATGCCTCCAACTCCTGAACCACAAACTTCTAGTACAAAGCACATGACCATCCCATCTTCATCATATAGTAATGGATACTGTTTTGAAACCCAAACCGATTCATGTTATCACTTGAATTTATCATGTTAATTTCAAAATTCTTGCCAGTCTTGTCACCAATGATGTTAATATCTCATAAAAGCATTTTTTCTGGGCTAAGGGCATGGTTCAAGTGGTGAAGCACTTTCCTAGCATGCACAAAACTCAGTGTAATCCCCAGTACCAAATGGGGTACAGAAGCACTGGTACTTAGGAGTTTAATTCTTCAAAACTACTTATTATAACATGATCATAACGTTGGTTCCTAACACTTGCTTACTACTGGAGCAATGAACAGTTTCACTGAAGAAAAGTAATGATAAAACTCCATTATCAGTTTTTAGCAAGTAAGGCTGAATGGAAAAAGGTTATTACATTTCTTTTTATCTTGGGAGAAATGATGGTATGTACTTCTAAAGGGAGGGCAGTACTCGAGCTGTAAAAGTTACAGCCTAACTGCCAAACTTACTTGGGAAAATAGACTTCCTTACCTCCAAAAACATCATCTCAAAGCATTTATAAGTGGTAGCAAAAGAACTTCTTTTCCCAATCCTGCAGCATGTAGATGCCATTTACCTTTAGAGGGATGTATCATTAATTTGGGCAGCTTAAGAGGGGCAGCTTCAAAATGTATTGGTTCCTGAGGTCGTTTCATTCTCTGAGTTTCACTTGGTTCCTCGGTCACTGTTTTTAAAAAAATGTGTTCTAATTACTATATTCTATAAATGGCAATTACTATATTCAAACATTTTTGTATCAGTATGAAATGTTTCTCAACTGTTTGCATACTATAACTTTATCAACAATGGCAGTAATTCAATTATTCATAAGCATGTGTTTACAGCATCCTATTACATATTTCTACCGAAATAATTCAATGTATTTCTAAGAGGAATATGCCTATACTTTATTCTGGGTTCATCTGATCTCTCTAAATACCTAAGAAAGATGATAGTGAGGTAACTCATTATAAAAAGACCTGACAAGCTGGGCGCCATTGGCTTAAGCCTGTAATCCTAGCTACTCAGGAGGCTGAGATCTGAAGATCGTGACTCAAAGCCAGCCCAGGCAGAAAAGTCTCTGTGAGACTCTCATTTCCAATTAAACTCAAAAACGGGAAGTGGTGCTGTGGCTCAAGTGGTAGAGTGCTAGCTAGCCTTGAGCACAAAGAGGCTCTGGACAACGCCCAGGCCCTAAATTCAAGCCCCATAACCGACAAAAAAAAAGAAAAAAGAAAAAAGAAAAAAAAAGACCTGAAAAAACTGCTCCCAAGAGTAAGAGGAGTTAATATGAGATATGGAAAAGTAGATACTCTATTTTCTAGGTGATTCCATCTAAGGCTACTCTTACAATGAGTCTACTGCTTACTTATTAATCAAATGTACTTCTAAATAAATTAATAAAATTAAATTCCAGAAGAGGAAGAACTATTCTAGGCTAAACTTAAGTATTTCCATCACTTTTTCCCATGAATTATATTCCTGATCCATGTTAGTGAGCTAAAAATAGGATTTGACCCAAACAGAGGGTTCTGTGGAGGCAAAAATAAATCAGGAAATGATTTAGCCGGGCACTGGTGGCTCATGCCTGTAATCCTAACAACTCGGGAGGTTGAGATCTAAGGATTGCAGTTCAAAGTCAGACAGGGCAGAAAAGTCCCCATGAAACTCTTTATCTCCAACTAACCACTCAAAAAAATGGAAGCCAGGTGCCAGTGGCTCATACCTGTAATCCTAGCTACTCAGGAGGCTGAGATCTGTTCAAAGCCAGCCCGGTAGGAAATTCTGTGAGACTCTCATTTCCAATAAGCCACCAGAAAACTGGAAGTGGCACTGTGGCTCAAGTGGTAGAGTGCTTGCTTTGAGCTGGAGAGCTGAGGGACAGTGCCCAGGCCCAGAGTTCAAGCCCCATAACTGACAAAAAAAATCAAAGTGGCATTGTGGCTCAAGTAGTAAAGTGTTAACCTTGAGCCCAAAGTGGTTTAGGGACAGTGCCCAGACCCTGAGTTCAAGCCCTACAACCAACCAAAAAAGAAAAGAAAAGAAAATATTAGATTAGATTTAGCTGAGACACACAGGTAGAGTGACAAATTGAAAATAAAAATCTTGAGGGGTTTTCCCCTATGGGACCTTTGCTGGTTCTAGGACTATATGCAAAAATGAGTAAGGATGAAAGCTCTTAAAAAGTACTGGAATCTCCAAAACCCTTCTGCAACTCAGGAAATAAAGACTCACCCAAGGAAAAGGACTAACTCAAATACTCAATAGTTTATGACTCAACATGAACTTTTTTTTGGTAGTAATGAAGTTTAAATTCAGAGCTTTGAGCTTGCTAGGAAAGCTCTCTACCACCTGAATCATATCCTCACCCCTACTTTCTAAGTTCTTCTGGAGTTTGAACTCAGGGCTTTGCATTGCTAGAAAGATGCTGTACTGTGCAACCTCTAGCCCTTTTTTGTTGTTTTGAGACAGTCTCGCTATCCCACTATGTAGCTTGAGTTGGCCTGAACACATTATATAGCTCAGATTGTCCTTGACCTCATGATCCTCCTGCCTCAGCCTCCTGAGTACTGAGATCATAGGTACATATCACCATGCCTGTCTCAATTTTGTGAATGAAGAAGAAGGCTAACAATCTGAGCTGCAAATTTCTAAAAATAAAGGCATAATGTCCTATAGTCTTTCAGGGCTTAGGAACTACAGAATTGCTACTAGGTTTTCCTGGAGAAGAACCAAATAGAATTATTTTCTTCCCTTTTCCTTATTTTTCTTTCTTTTTGACAATGCCAAGAACTAAGCTTGGGCCTTGTATATGCTATCCAATCACTCTACCAATAAACTACCATGAAACAAGCTTCAGTACCAAACAAGCTGAGTCTCTGACTGGAATTAGCCCCTGCATCTTTCTGTCTAAAAGGGAAAAGAAACAGGTAGAAATCTAGAACATCTATGGATATTTTATACATAATATTCAATATACTGAAAAAAACAGATACGAAAAGAACACTATAAACCAGTAGAAACACTACTGGCATCAGTAGACAAGGATTATAATTTTGCACAATAAAAAAATGTCACCAGAGAACCTATTCTTGGTAACAAACCAGTCAGCTGGACAGTAAACTGAAGCAACCACTGAGAAAAACTGCTTTAATGGTAACTACTAATGCTGAATCTATGCATTTCCTAGGACTTAGTAATTCTACTCCTAGATAGAAACATGATACAAAGACATACATATTTCATCAAGACACATGTACTAGAAAGTTCACCATAATGCTATTCATAATCACACCAAACAGAAAGTACCTAAATGTATACAAACAATAATAAAGGCATATTTACATAATAGAATATTATACAACAGTGAAAATGAAATGTTCTAATACATAATAAATCTTAACATAAGTGAATAGGGCTAGCCACAAAGAAATACTGTGATGATTCCATTTGTACTAAGCTCATAAACAGGCAAAACAAAGATGATAGTAGAAGTCAGGACAGGAGTTATCCTCACAAGGATCTAAGGGGAATAGCAGATAGAAAGTGGCACTGACACATTAGGAGTTTTTCTAGAGTAATAGTAATGGCTAATTTTTTCAACCAAGATTTCACTGTACAGCTGTGCTTACTTTGTAAACAATGAAATTTCTCTATATATTTTCTACTTCACTGAAATGTCCTAAAATTGACAATTGCTAAAATATGCAAACAATGCATTTGACAAAAGTTCCTGAGGTGGTTTTGTTGGTCATGGGGCTTGAACTGAGGGCCTGACCATTTTCCCTCAAGGCTAGCACTCTACCACTTTTAGCCGTAGCACCACTTCTGGTTTTCTAGCACCACTTCTGGTTTTCTGGTGGTTAAATTGGAGAGAAGTGTCTCACAGATTTTCCTGCCTGGGCTAGGAAAGTGATCCTCAGATCTCAGCCTCCTCAATAGGTAGAATTACAGGTGTGAGCCACCTAAGCAGAGTATTTTATCCTAAAAATCGGTACTCTCATTTTCTACATAATGTACATTAACTATAATGACTGTATTAGCTCATCCTTCTTCCCTTCGTTCATGTGCTCCCCCTATGGGTCTCTGTCAAAATTGATAAACAGTACATTAGGTGTTCAGAGGAGTTACACCTTGGACTCCTCCCCTAAATATACCATCCTTTAGTCACTTTTGTGTATATGCAGAGAGCCATGTATATGTTATCATGCATGTTTGTATTTTAGATCAAGCTTCCACATGTAAGAGAAAACATGTATAAGGCTAATATCTTTAAAGCCATACTTCAATATAATAGAAAATGTGTAACTCTGTGAATAATCATTTTTAAAAAGCCAAAATAACCCTATGCTTTAATTCTCAAGTCCATTAACATATCAAGAAATTACTTTCTAACTACATATTATACATTTGGCAAAAATGCTTACTTTAAAAAAGGATAGAAAGAGAAACTCTGCTATATAAGATCCTCACGTATAAAATATAAAATAGAAGCATAGCATAAAAATCTTTATTTTTGTCTCACCTGGTTTATCTTGCTTTATAGGGCTATGAATATTACCCTTAGAAGAGCTAAAAGGCTGGCTACTCAAAAGGTTATCACACTCCAGGCTGTGACACAAAGTCTCAAGAAACCGAAGAGCAAATGATGCGCTATTTACTGGAGGGAGCTGGATGGCATGATTTTCTCCATCAAAGGAGGCTGTTGGGGCAGAAGAGATGTCAATATCTCACAGAGAGAGACATAAAACATAGTAACAAAAATTGCCTCATACTAGGAAATGTATAATTCATGTTTTTTATAATTAATAAAGGAATAATCTTACACTAAAATGTTTCTCTCATTCAAACACATTTTTAACCAAAGCTTGCTCTGGTTAAAAAAAAGTCTTACTTTAAAATATTTAGAAAGTAAACAGAATAGAAATCCTTTGATAAAAACATTTTTTTCTATTCCAAACACACTCTACTGGCACAAATGTTGTAGTGTCTAATAACAGAATCACAGAAATCACAAGCTGCATCTTATCTTTCAATGAGTTCTTGAGTTATATTTATATTTAAAACTTCTTATAGGGTAATCTGTTTGCTATATAAATGTAAAATGTACAATTACTGAGGTACAAATACATAAAAAGAAAATTCCATATCTCATTAGAGTGATATTAATAATCACTCTAACATCATTTGTCTATTTGTCAAGTAAAGTTCCCAAAACAGTGTTAGGTCTATAAACATTTTGTAACTATTGTACATATCTCATTACAAAAATGTAATAAATATTATAGCACATTAATAGAATATAAATATTATAGTCTACATGTCATAAAATCCTATCTTGCCTAATTTGAAAATCAACTTTGGAAACAAAATTGAGTAAAGGATTAGATTACTATACCAGTTATCACTTCTCCTCCACGATTATCTGGCTTGAGAAATCCAAAAACAGTCTTTGCCTCAAAGGCACAATCCACAAAGGACTGCACAGTCCTACGAAGTATCACATTCACAGGGCCTGGGCCAAAGTGATCAGGAAGATTCTGGATTTTCTTTGGATCCAGGTGAGGGCCAGTGTTTCCATGTTTGTTTATATAGACACAGACTTGAGGAAAAATGTGTTTATCGACACAACAACAATAAATGAGATTGATTAAAAGAAGCTTTGGGACCATAGTACACAATTACTATATCCCATTTGTCACTCCATTTAAGGAAAAACTAAATATGGTTAATAGTAGTATTCCTTCTGCTACCTAAAAATATGTAGGCAAATTTATCAGCATATTTGAATACATATATTAAATATACAATGAAAAAGTCAAAATATGTCTTCAATATTTTAGAGTTTTGTTCAAATTATATAAAAACTATAGTATATAAAGTTTAGGAATATTCTTCATATATTTTTATACTATGTAACATGGTACAAAGAGAGATGAATATATTTCTTATTTAATTGTAAACAACATTAATTTCCTTGTGAAACTGGTCATCTTGATATATTCCTTTTTCAGACAATTTCTTTTAAATCACCATATTGTACTTCAGTTGTATTTTCTAAAATAACCAAATATTTAAAGTATATTCCATACTAAGTTCTAATCATGCATATTTATTAAGAATATAAAAATAAAGCCTGGTGCCAGCAGCTCACACCTGTAATCCTAGCTACTCAGAGGGCCGAGATCTGGTTCAAAGCCAGCCAAGGCAAGAAGGTCCATGAGACTATTTATCTCCAATTAGCAACCAGAAAACCAGAAGTGGAGCTGTGGCTCAAAGTGGCTGAGCACTAGCCTGGAGCAAAAATCCCCAGGGACAGCACTCAGGCCCTGAATTCTGGCACCACAAACAACAACAATAACAACAAAAGACTATAAAAATATCCATTCTATATATGGCAAGGTTCACTGGAAAACTAAAACTCCTTAATAAAAGCCTAATACAGAATTCAATTATAATCTCAAATTAATCATTTTTATTTATCAGAATCAATAAATATACATCAATATACACTGTAAAAACATGCAGGTAAGCTATGCACTAGTGGCTCACATTTGTAATTCTAGCTACTCAGGAGGCTGAGATCCGAGAATCACAGTTCAAAGCCAGCCTCGGGCAGGAAAGTCCAAGAGGCTCTTATCTCCGATTAACCACCAGAAAACTAGAAGCGGTATGGCTCAAATTGGTAGAGTGCTAGCCTTGAGTGAAAAAGTTCAGGGACAGTGCTAAGGCCCTGAGTTCAAGCCCTATGTGGCCAAAAAACAAACAAAAAACCATGCACATTATTTTTAACTCATTAATTTCAACTGCAAACTTTCATACATAGACTGTATTTATTATTGTAAAAACCCATTAATCTGTTTTACTACATTGAAACACATGGTAATGCAACTTTGTAGCAATATAGGAAATAGAAATGCAGTGGTGATTAAAACGCAAACTAGAGTTACTGAGGTCACAGATACATTCTCTCAAACACAAGCAAAGCTGAATAAGAATTTCAATGTTTTGTCTGTGCCCATCCTAGGGCTTAAACTCATTGCCAAGGTATTGCCCCTGAGCTTTTTAACTCAAGGTTAGCATTCTACCATTTGAGCCACAGCTCAACTTTCTCCTTTTTTGGTACTTAATTGGAGATAAGAATCTCTTTGACTTTCCTCCCTGGGCTGGGCTGACTTCATACCATGATCCTCACAACTCCAGCCTCCAGAGTAGTTAGGATTACAGATGTGAGCCACACACTGCCTGCTAAGAATTCCAATGTTTTATCTCTTCTCTCTTATATAGGTTGATTATGTCTTATCTGAAATGCCTGGGACTAGAAGTGCTTCAGATTACACAATGAGAATACCTTGGGGATAAGAGTTAGGTCTAAACACAAACTCTTATATTTCATATATGGGAAATAAATTACACACAAAACTCTTTTATATATCATATGTGAGAAATAAATTATGTACAGACATTATTTTTACGATGTTTTTGGCACCTGTGTTTTGACTGCAACCCACCACATGAAGTCAAGGGTTTGTCACTTGTGGTATCACACTAAGCGCTCAAGAAGTTTTAAATTTTAAGCCATTTCAGATTTCAGATTTTCAGTTTACATATGGTCAGCTTGTATTTATTTAATTAATCTCTCCTAATAATGGACTGAAAGTCAGAAATAAACTGTAAACTAAGGTATGCTAAAATAATACTTTTTAAGGTGATCTCTCTTTAAAAAAATAAACAATGTAATTATATTTTAGTCAAGAAAGAAAAATGTTGAAGAAAAAAATCCAAGGAAAGGTGGGCACTGGTGGCTCATGCCTGTAATCCTAGCTACTCAGAAGGCTGAGATCTGAGGATCGCAGTTCAAAGCCAGCCCAGGCAGGAAAGTCCATGAGACTCTTACTTTCAATTAACCACCTGAAAACCAGAAGTGGTTGATGCTGTAGTTCAAGTGGTAGAGTGCTAGCCTGGAACTGAAGAGCTCAGGGACAGCGCCCAAGCCCAGAGTTCAAATCCCATGAACGACCAAAAAACGGAAAAGTCCAAGGAATTAGAAGAGTAGAGGGAAAATAATTAAGGACCTAGGACATGTTCTTTAAAAACAGGAAAGGAATAAGGAAATATGCATAGGAGATAAGAGGAATTGACTTGACTGGGTCTGTCTTCTTTTACATTCTTTACATAGCAAAGAACAGTCAAGGTCACAATACCTGACAGGCAAGTAAAGGATCTGTCAAGAGAAAGTATTTTCAAATGAATTTTTTGTGGGGGTCAGTTGTGTGGCTTGATCTCAGGGCCTGGGCACTGTCCCTGAGCTCTTCAGCTTAAGGCTAACACTCTAACACTTGAGCCACAGTGCCACTTCCAGTTTTCTGGTGTTTTATTGGAGGTAAGAGTCTCATGGACTTTTCCTGTCCGGGTTGGCTTTGAACCTCGATCCTCAGATCTCAGCTTCCTGAGTAGCCAGGATTACAGGTATGAGCCACTGGTGCCCGGCTCAAATGAAATTTTTAAAACTTTGAAGTAGCTGTAAAAATACAGACAATAGCCAGGCGCCTGTGGCTCATAGTCTGTAATCCTAGCTACACAGGAAGCTGAAATCTGAGGATCATGGCTCAAAACCAGCCCAGGCAGGAAATTTCATGAGACTCCTATTTCCAATTAAGCATCAAATATACAGAAGTGAAACTGTGGCTCAAGTAGCAGAGCACTAGCCTTCAGCAAAAATTTCCAAGGACAGAGTCCAGGCCCTGAATTCTAGCCTCAGGACTAACAAAACAACAACAAAAAATATACACTACACAGTGGCAAAATAAAAAGAAATTGAGAATCAATTCACTAACAACATAAATGTTATAGATCTTAACATATTTTAAGACACTGAATTTTCAACTGACTTTACATATTTAAACAGACATTTTTCCTTATTATCAAATTGAACAGTCATGATGACTCATAAAATGCTTTAATGTGAAAACGCTTAAGGAAATATTCACTATTATCACCTTTTTACCTCTTATTCCCAAGAATTATTTCCAGATACTGAAAACAATACAGAATATAATGGAATTTTACAACCTTTAAAAATACTAAATTACCTGTAGACATCACTATTTTAGATGGTCCAGAACTAGAATCCTTAGAACTGCCACGGCCTCTGGTCAGAGAACGCAGAGAAGCTGAAGATGTGGAACATAATACAGGAATAAATTTTTCCTGTTAAAAACAAAGAACATGAGTTTACATTATGCTCAAAATTATAGCCAACACTGGTTCATAAAACTAGTTATCAGAAGTCCTCAGGTTGGAAATCTTCTGTGTATCATGAACTGCAGTACTTTTCAGAGTTCCTCAAATGTGCAGGAAGCGATCAAAAAGCCAAGATTCTCTGATCTAGTTCAACTCCTTACACCTTAGTCAAAATAGTTCACTATATAGAACTTAGTTTTCTGAGGTTCCTTCCATGCAATAAATTTTTTTCACACTACTAAAAAAAAGTCTATAAATTTCTTTTTTCTTTTTTTTTTTGGGGGGGGGTCTGGTCATGGGGCCTGAACTCTGGGCCTGGGCACTGTCCCTCAGCAATTCAGCTCAAGGCTAGCGCTCTGCCACTTCAGCCACAGCACCACTTCCGGCTTTTTTCTTTTTACTTATGTGGTGCTGAGGAATCAAACCCAGGGCCTCATGCATGCAAGGCAAGTGCTCTACCACTGAGCCACCTTCCTAACCCTAGTTGAATATTTTGTTATTATATTTCTATCACTTATGAAATATGGGCAATTTTGATAAATTATTTCTTCAGTATTTTCTTTTCTGCCAGCTACTCTCTTTTCTACCAATTACATAAGAATTAAACCTTTTGGGGCTGGGAAGGTGGCTCAGTGGTAGAGTGCTTGCCTTGCATGTATGAGACCCTGGGTTCGGATTCCTCAGCACCACATGAGCAGAAAAAGCCAGAAGTAGTGCTGTGCTCAACTGGTAGAGCGCTAGCCTTGAGCTGAAGAGCTGAGGGACAGTGCCCAGGCCCAGATTTCAGAAGCCCACGACTGACAAAAAAAAAAGATCCCAAGTACTCAAAATTATTAATAAAAAATATGTGTGTGGCTTTAGTTTAACACCTTTACAATAAAAGTGTATTGCAAAAAAAGACCTCAGCATGTTCTTAATAAATTTCTAAACTCTATGTAATAAATAATAAAGCATGGCAGAGAAATATAAATTAGCAAAGTATATGACTAACCTTGGTTTTCTTTGAAGTGGTAGTTTTAACAGAGCTCCCCTTCTTAGGAACGGGAATAGATTTAGGTTTTTTAATTCTACCAGATTTCCTTGTTGACCCTGTTGCTGGTGTTGCCATGGTTTTCTTCGGAGTTTGCACCAGCCGCTGGGTCTCTCCAGAAGCAGAAGATTGTGCTTCAGCTACAGCCTTTGTATCAGGAACTGAGAGAACAACACGGCAATAAATAACAATAAAACAAAATAACATAATTAAGGCATTATCTTGTTATGAATACTTAAGTGTTTAACTTAATCTTCATTCCCAAAGCTTATTCATCAAAATAAAACAAAGGTACTATTTAAAATGTTTAATGTATATTAAGATTTCACATTATCTGAAAATTTAAAGAGACTTTTTTGTGTGTGAGCCAGTACTAGGGTTTGAACTCAGGGCTTGGGCGCTGTCCCTGAGCTTTTTTGCTCAAGACTAGCACTCTACCACTTGAGACACAGCTCTACTTCTGGCTTTTTTGGTAGTTAATTGGAGATAAGAGTCTCACAGACTTTTCTGCCCAGACTGGCTTCGAACTGCAATCCTCAAATCTCAGCCTCCTGAGTAGTTAGGATGGCAGGAAGAAGCTTTTATAAAAAGTTAGCTTTGAAACATTGAAAATTTCTAGCAGTTTTGACAACTTTCATTTTTTTCTTAACTCAGAAATCTTTCAGATGCTAAACAATTTTTGCCATATATAGTAATAATCTTGCAAATCAATATAGAAAAAACAAAGCAAAGCAACTACCTATGGCTTCTTCTTCAGCTTTCAGAGGTCTGGTCACTCCTCTGCTCTTGGGTGTTTTTTTTTTAGCTTTATTGAGGTATAATTGAAAAATAAAAATTATACATATTTAAAGCTATAATACATTATATTCCTATAGGTATATCAAATAATGTTTCATATACTACAATTAATACATAATGTTATCATGGAAAGGCTACTATTATGCCCAAATGATCTGTAGCTACTAGTTATCTGGTAGCCTAATCTAGACAATTTTATTATCTTGAACAGAGATTACCTGCCAGGATTACTTTTGTCCATGTTTGAAGGCAAATGTGTGTGTGTGTGTGTGTGTGTGTGTGTGTGTGTGTGTGTATGTGTGTGTACACACATATCTCTCAACAATTGTATTAGCACTTAAAATTAAATTTTACATACTTGTGCCAAATAAAAATTCTTTATAGAAAGAGCTATGAAACTATTTACCTACCTGATCAAAAGCCAACTACTTGCTGGGCGCTGGTGGCTCACACCTATAATCCTAGCTACTCAGAAGGCTGAGATCTGAGGATCGAGGTTCAAACCCAGCCCGGGCAGGAAAGTCCATGAGACTCTTATCTCCAATAAACCACCAGAAAATCAGAAGTGGCACTGTAGCTCAAGTGGTAGAGTGCTAGCCTTGAGCTGAAGAGCTCAGGGACAGCATCCAGGCCCCAGAGTTCAAGCCCCATGAAAAAATAAAGCCAACTACTTTTTTTTTTTGGTCAGTCATGGGGCTTGAACTAAGACCCTGGGAACTATCCATGAGCAAATTTCTTTGCTCAAGGCTAGGGCTCTACCACTTTGAGCCACAGCTGCACCTATGGTTTTCTGGTGGTTAATTGGAGATAAGAGTCACGGATTCCCTTACCTGGGCTGACCTCCAACTTCGAACCACAATTCTCAGATCTCAGTCTGTGTAACTAGGATTAGAGGTGTGAGCCACTAGACCTGGCCTCCAACTACTTTTTTTTAAAGATCTTCATTTTACAATTTCAAACAGTCTATTGTTTTCTTGCTGACATATTCAAAGACTAGTATGTGGTAAATTTCGCCTGTGACAGAAAACATTACATTTTGCAACCTTTTTATCCACATTCTAACACTTAGCAATCCAAGAAGAAAGAGTAATACACCCCCTCACTTGCTAGGGCAAAGGAACACTTAACTGCCACCATTGGTTTTACAAATAGTTGGAAGCCAGGTCAGCCCTGAGAGATAAATCCTTGAGACTTTTATCTCCAATTAATCACCAAAAATGCCAGAAGTAGAGCAGTGGCTCAAGTGGTAGAGTATTAGTCTTGAGCAAAAAAAGCTCAGGGCACAAAACATCTTTTTGCTAAAGGTGTGTGATATATAAGCAGGGAATATGCTACTCACCTTTAATTAAAAAAAAATATATGAACACCTAGCCAGGTGCCAGTGGCTCATACCTATAAACCTGGCTACTTGGGAGGTTGAAACAGAAAGGTTCACAGATGGAGGCCAATCCATGCCTCCAGGTGATTCAAATCCAAGAATTACTATTCAAAATTTTAGCTCACAAAGTTCTGTCTTAGTCTGTCCTACCTCTTCCTATTACGTACACACAATTAAAAACAGACTCAAGCTGGGTGCTGGCGGCTCACGCATGTAACCTAGCTATTCAGGAGGCTGAGATATGAGGATCGTGGTTCAAGGCCAGCCTGGGCAGAAAAGTCCATGAGACTCTTTTCTCCAATGAACCACCAGAAAACCAGAAGTGGCATGTAGCTCAAGTGGTCGAGTGCTGGCCTTGAGCTGAAGAGCTGAGGGACAGCGCCCAGGCCCAGAGTTCAAGACCCATGACCAACAACAACAGCAAAAACAAAAACAAAAACAAAAAAAAAAACAGACTCAAAACTTTTACTATTTGTTACTATTAACACACTGTGTAAGCTATACCCACTAACCTCCCAGCATCTACATTCCCACCTGTCACAGAGTATTATAGTGAATGTAACAACTCTAAAATCTGCTTAACTAGCCACTGTCTTTTTTCTAGGGTTCACATCCGTATATGCTACTATCCAGTGGACTTATGTACTTGGATGCCCCAGTTATGCTGTATCAGTTAGAATTAAATTCACCTAGGGCTGGGAAGGTGGCTCAGTGGTAGAGCACTTGCCTTGCATGCTCAAGGCCCTGGGTTTGATTCCTCAACACCACATAAGCAAAAAGAAAAAAGCCGGAAGTGGCGCTGTAGCTCAAGTGGTAGAGCGCTAGCTTTGAGCTGAAGAGCTTAGGGACAGTGCTCAAGCCCAGAGTTCAGGCCCCATGACCGGACCCAAAAAAAAAAAAAAAGAAAAGAAAAGAATTAAATTCACCTAAAAGTAAGAGAAAACGCTAAAATAGTATAGCTAAATACTTAGTTTATTTCAGTTTATCTCTCTCAAAGAACAGTCTGGAAATGAACTATATAGACTAATATGAAGTTCTGCCCTACAGGGAACTACAACTCCTTCCTGCTTTCCACTCTGTATTACCTATGAGTCCCTATCACATGGTCTAGGAAAGTAACTCACAGCCAAAACCACACTTCTAGTACCAGGATAGAAGCAGGAAAAAGGAATAAAGGAGGACACAGTTCAATTCTCTATAATATACTTCCTAGAAGTGGAACACACTGTGTGTACTTAAGACTCATAGGTGTACCATACTGCTAGGGGCAGGAAATACAGTCATTATGCTAGGCATATAAACTGTATCATGAAGGAAATATAAGGTAGGAACTTTTACTGGAGGACAACAACATTCTCAATCTCACATTCCATTTGTGTCCCCCCAAAAACTCACCTGTTTTCATGATAAAGTGAAAATTTATACCTTTGTGATAGGTTCACCTTACCTGCATTTCCATTCAGTCTAACACTAACATCTCTCTTAATAGTCATATCACCTGTCATTTTTTTCTTTTTTTTTTTACTTTCTTTTTTTGGGGGGGGGAGGGTCCGGTCGTGGGGCCTGAACTCTGGGCCTGGGCGCTGTCCCTCAGCTCTTCAGCTCAAGGCTAGCGCTCTACTATTTGAGCCACAGCACCACTTCTGGCTTTTTTCTTATGTGGTGCTGAGGAATTGAACCCAGGGCCTCAGGCATGCAAGGCAAGCACTCTATCACTGAGCCACCTTCACAGCCCCGTCATTTTTTCCTTTACCCAATTACTTTTCGTTCTAGCTCAGATTAGAAGTTTTTGATTGCCTCTGTATCAACAGCACATCTTTATTTTTTCTTAATTCTTCATTGTATTTTACATATGTATCCTTCCATCTCTCTTCAACCGGAATGTAAACTTCTTGAGAACAGAGAGTATGCTTTATCTTAGCATCATATGCACCTAGATCTGTATCATATAAAATTTTACAAAATCAGCCACTAGTTACTACTTCCTAGAATTTTGGCAGCAAGAAATTGGTAAGGTTCCTAATAAAAAGAACATCATAAAAACTAGAGTGGTAGAGCTCTTGCCTTGAGCAAAAAATACAAGCAAGAACATGTACTTCTGAGTCCAAGCCCCAGTACTGGCACAAAAAAAGTTTTAGAGTAAAAAAAAAACATGATGGCCTGGCAATGTGGCTTAGAGGTAGAGTGCTTGCCTAGCATCCCTGGGTTCAATTCCTCAGTACCACATACACAGAAAAAGCCAGAAGTGGCATGGTGGCTCAAGTGGTAGAGTGCTAGCCTTTAGCAAAAGAAGCTTAGGGACAGAGCCCAGGTCCTGAGTTCAAGCTCCAGGACTGGAAAAAAAATCATGATATATAGTACACTGTAGTATAATAGCACATAATAAAGTCTACCCTCTTCTGCATACCTCACCTACTCATTTTCTATATTTATCTTTTTCTGGTATGAATACATTTAGCAAGGTAAATTTTGTCTAAAATTGATTATATTACACTTAGGCCAATGACTTGGTTCTATGCTTAGACCTGATTTAAATTTCAGGAGTTAATTCTATCACTGAAGACCATGTTAGACATGTCTCAGCCCTTGGAAGCTCCAAGGAACTTAAATATTTTAATGACTTTTCTCTGAAAGAAAATATAATCAGAATATTCAACTTAGGAAACCTAACATTACAAGTGACAAACATTACCAAAGCTAAAATAACATAGAAATCTACAATGGCTTCTAGAGAATTAAAAATTTTCACTCACATGTAGATTCTACTTAAGATTATCTAATTATTGATGTAAATTGAAAGTAGGACAAAAATCTTATAAACCCTATTTTCAATAGTTGTTAAACTCAACATTTAAAAATTAACAGCCAGGCTCCATGGCTCATGCCTACAATCCTAGCCACTCGGAAGGCTAAAATCAGAAGGACCATGGTTCAAGGCTAGCTTTGCAAAGTTCATGAGACCTCTTTCTCAACTAAGTGCTTGGTATAGGGGTACATGCTTATCAATCTAGTTTCTTTGGAGGGCTGAGTTCAGTAGGACCACAACTGTAATTCAGCTCAAGCAAAAAAGCTCATGAAACTCCATCTTAGCAGAAAAAGCAGAGTGTGGTGCACTTTTCATCTAAGCTACAGCAGGAGCATAAAATAGGAGGATCTAGCCATGTGCCAGCAGCTCACACCTGTAATCCTAGCTATTCAGGAGGCTGAAATCTGAGGATCACAGTTTGAAACGAGCCCAAGCAGGAAAGTCCATGAGACTTTTATCTCAAATAAACTACCAAAAAAAAATGAAAGTGGCAATGTGGCTCAAAGTGGTAAGCACTAACCTTGAGCAAAAGAGTTCAGGGACAGCACTCAGGGCGAGAGGTCAAGTCCCACAACTAAGGAAAAAAAGCCAGAAGTAAAGCTGTGACTCAAGTGGTAGAGGGCTAGCCTTGAGTAAAAGAAGGTCATGGACAGTTCGAGCCCCAGGACTGGCATAAAATTTAATTTGAAAAAAAAAGATCAAACTTTAGGTACAAATCTGAGCAAAAACAAAACCCTATTTCCAAATAACCAGTGCAAAAAAATGGAGGCATAAATCAGTCCTAAAGCACTTGCCCATTAAACATGAAGCCCTAAGTTTAATCCCAGGAATGCCCAAAATTTATGTTTAAGATATGAACAGGGGCTGCGAAGGTGGCTCAGTGGTAGAGTGCTTGCCTCACATGCTTGAGACCCTTGGTTCAATTCCTCAGCACCACATAAGCAGAAAAAGCCAGAAGTGGCACTGTGGCTCATGTGGTATGTAGAGTGCTAGCCTTGAGCTGAAGAGCTGAGGGACAGTGCCCAGGTCGAGTTCAAGCCCCGTGAACAGAAAAAAAAAAAAGATATGAACAATGGGCCAGGTGCTGGTGGCTCATGCCTGTAATGTAGCTACTCAGGAGGCTGAGACCTAAGGCTTACAGTGCAAAGCCAGCCCAGGAAGGACCATCCATGAGACTCTTTTCTCCAATTAACCACCAGAAAACTGAAAGTTGAGCTGTGGCTCTAAGTGCTTAGAGTACCAGCCTTGAGCAAAAAGAGCTCAGGGACAGCGTCTAGGCCTTGAGTTCAAGCCCTACCACCACCACCACCCAAAACAAAAAGAACAATGGAATAACAGGTGTAAAAATATTTTTGGGTGCTGAAGATACAACTTAGGTCTTATGAATGCTATTCATACACTCTACCATTTAGTTATTCCCAGACTCCATATGCAATTTTTAATTGAATAATTACAAGAGTAGCTTATCTCCCATCTCTCCATTCAATTACTATAGCAAAAAGACTTCATAGGTTCAAATGTGATCATTAGCTTTTGTCCATAATCTCCAGTAGGGAACTGGAACTTAGATGATGATGAGGTCTTCAAGAATTCTAATCATACCCTCACTTGATCTCTAGTTCTCCAAACTAGACAGTGATCTTGCTAACCTTTCTACAATCTAGTTGGGCAATGAAATACTAACACTACTAATGCTAACATAATGTCATTGGATTTAATTTCAGTAAAAATTTAAAAACCCGTATCATTATTTATTAGCTTACCCTTTTTTCCAATTGGCTGTAATACATCTCCTGTCAGGCAACACCACCCAACTGGGAAGAGATCTCTGGAGTCATACTTGCACCAATAATCAAATGTTCCACTCCAACCATCAAACTGAACATAGACTTTATCTCCTTTAACATCTCCAATGGTTGCCGGGCAGATAAAGAAAGGATTCTTTCTGTCAACCGCCTCCAGTTTCATCCCCACTTTAAAATTATTTAGAGGTGGCTTTGGTGGTTCCTACCAAGACATTTTTAGGGAAAAATGCTTTTTACTGTGTAAATATATTAAGAAACATTATCTCAAATGTGCTCTTATAAACCTTAGCAACCAAAAACTAAATTCCATATTTATCAATTAATACAGGAAGAAAGAATTTCTCACAGATTAGAAACTCTGCTCTCCAACATCTCACTTTTTTCCCTGCAGAGCTAAGAACCTGGAAAGAAATAAAAGACTAATCCATTAACATTCAAGAAATACATTCTTTTAGGTATGTACCAGGAATATTAAGATTCATTGGTGAAAAACAATAAGAAATATCATTGCTCTGGTAAACTGTACATTCTAGTAGTACTAGTAAGGCCTGACTGGGGACAAGGGAAAGTAATCAACAAGAAACTTGAAAAGAGACAAGGAGAAATGGTCAAATATATATCCCAAAAATTTTTGGGATATATTTTTAAAGTAGAGCCAACAGGATTTCCTTAGACTGTTAGAAAGAAGTGTTCACCAAGGCTTATGTCCTGATCACCTGGAAAGATGGCTGTCCTGAGCTGGGGAGATTGCAGGTACAAGTCTAAAATTTCTATCAGATATCCAAGTGGAGATGCTCTCAATAGGTAAGTAGCTCAATAGAGAAGTTTAAGTTAGAAGCAAAAGGTCTTGATACAAAATATAAATTTGAAAGCCATCTGCATATTATATTTAAATCTAGGAAATATAATATATTCCAAAGAATGCAGATTAAAGGTTTCTCAGTCTTGGCACTACTGACATTTGGGAAAAGAATGTCCTTTGATGTGGGAGCCTTTCTATGTGCTGTAGGAGTTTAGCAGCATTCTTGGTCTCTTCACTAGATGTCAGTAATACTACCAACCCTCTCACAGTGCAAAACTGGAAGATATCCCTAATGGGAATTGAATTACCTCCTCTTCTCAACTGAGAACCACTGATACAGAAGAGGACCAAAGATCCAAACATTCCATCATTCCCCTCAAAACAAGAGTACAGAGCATCATGTCATTACTCTCTTTTTAGTACCCTAAACCTTATTCTTGCCCTATTATCTCAAAAACTTATTAGTTCATTACCAGCATCTGTTTCACTCAATTATTTATACTTAGCTGCTAAGCACTGCTTATTACCTATAGTGCGATGTATTTTCATGCTTTTTCAGCTGAGCCATCCAAAATAATGGCATGTGTTCCTACATTGTCTCCCCTTCAATTCCATATAGTAACTATTCCAAACCTTTACTGTTCTCAAGGTTAATTATATATTCTCATTATTTTATTATTTAATTTGACTGACTTTCTTCCTAACCAGAGAGTAAGCTTGCTGCATAGTAGACATTCAACTTATGTATGAATGCTTGCCTAATATGCATGAGGCCCTGGGTTCCATTCCTCAGCACCACATACGCAGACAAAGCTGGAAGTGGCGCTGTGGCTCAAGTGGCAGACCACTAGCCTTGAGCTAAAGAGCTGAGGGACAGCGCCCAGGCCCAGAGTTCAAGCCCCATGACAGACAAAAAAAAGAGTGGGGGTGGGGAGTGGTGAGAGGAAGGGATGGTATGGGGAAACAAAGGAGGAGGACACAATGCTTGATAAGAAATGTACTCCCGGGCTGGGAAGGTGGCTCAGTGGTAGAGCACTTGCCTTGCATGCATGAGGCCCTGGGTTTGATTCCTCAGCACCATATAAGCAAAAAGAAAAAA